GGAGGAAAATGCTTACACCTGATCACCCACTGTTATAATTTGTGAGCATTGAACGGTAAATAATAACAAAAAGTGAATCAGGCTCTTTCTCCTGTCTCTAATCTAGAATGAATGTACCATCCTGACTATAATTACTCCAGTTCATTTTCGTATTACTATCTTGTTAGTGTTTACATTATAGCAAACCAGATATTGAAAGTCATGGAACCTGGAATAGGGCCAATAAATTTGTGACACTGTAAATGATCATTTAATGTGCGGCAGGATTATTAAGCACACTGTCTTCATTAGGCTTAACTATGGACCACTTCTGCTTACAGGATGAAGCTTTAGTTGTGGTCAGGGACAATAAGCCAAGTTATAGTGATGGTGGTGTAAGTCGGTTGTGGTGTGCCGATACTGACGTTCGGTTAGGTCTGTAAAAAGAGGGCCCACCAAAATTGAATGGCTTGATACAGGGAGCAGTGGGTGGGTGGGCTGAACACCAGGCAGTTACAGCACAGAGGAATGGGAGGCCTGTGTATTATAGGCTGCTTAGCCCCTCCCACAACATCAGTCTCCACTTAAAGGCTCAGCCTTCCTGTTTATTAGAAACACTTCTTTAATATTCTAATGTCCCATGTATGTTAAAGTAGACATGGCATGAGAGCCCTTTAAATGGATAATCAGCCTTATTTTACCCTCTTTAAGCTTAGTATTCTAAAATCTATACAATGATTATTACATATGTTCTTTCCTAACCCAGCCCGTATTGTATCCAGATATTTTGTAGATGGCAAGCCCCATGATCTGACTTTATTACCTTGCATATTTTAGTGTCACCTGCAAAAATTGAGACATTGCTTTCGTTTCCCATCTCAAGATCATTAATAAATAAAAAGGACTGGGAACAGGACTGAACCTTGAGGTACTCTAATTACAGTTATTGTCTGAATAAAAAGGTTCATTTTATAGTAGCTGTATGTACCCTGTCCTTCCATCAATTGTGTATCTATTTATTTATTCTAGGTATGATGTTTGTAAAATAATAAAAAAAATATTCTGATGCCATTTTGCTGGTGAATGTCAAGATGATATGATCTGCAGTTTCTTGTGTTTGAAATTTAGAGAATAAAACAAAATTTTCAATAGTTTTTTTTCCTGTGGAGGTCCAATATTTTCAGATTTTTAACTGTGAGAACTGCAACTGCCATTAAACCTTTGGTAGAGGGTCCAATACTGGAAAACCTCTGCCCTAAAGCAAGAGTTGCCAAAATTAGGCCAACAAAAAAAGTATGGGAGAAATTGTCCTACTTTGGTATTTTGGTCTACACATTGGGATTTCGTTTGTCAGTTCTTCACACATGTACTGTTCATCAGTGTTAATTTTGGCGGCAAATTTCAATTTAGTTCTAGTCACAGTCTTTTGATTTGAAAAAAAAAAAAGCCGTTTTAGTTGGCACAATTAGAATCGAATGGATTTAGTTAATTCCTCTACCTGTCTCTTTTGCCCCTTCCGCAGCCCCTCTGTGTCTCTCTCCCAAGCCCCAGTCTGTCTCATTTATCCATTCCCCAGACCCCCTTTGTGTCCTCCCAGCCCATCTGGGCGTCTCCTCCCCTAAGCCACTGTTTGTCTTTTTTGCCACGGCTCCCAGCCCTCCTGTGTCTCTTTCTTTCCACAGCCTCATTTGTGTGTTTATTCCCCTTAGCAACTTGTCTCTTTCTCCTCCATAACCTGTATGTCACTTGGTGTCCCACCCAGCCCCTTCATGCATATCATCTCCCCCACGTGTCTCATTGCCCCAGCCCCCCCATGTGTTTCAATTACTCTCGCCAGCTCCTTCACTCGTTTCATTTCCTCTCCTCCCTCCTCATGTGTCTTACTAGCCAGAGTTAATGTTGGCGGCAAATTTCAATTTAGTTTTAGTCATAATCTTTTGACTAAAAAGCCATTTTACTTTTTGTTGTATTTTAGTCATCTGAATTGTTTTAGATTTAGTATAGTTTTAGTCAAATAAACCTCCAATATTTTAATCAACTAAATCTGACAAATGTTTTTAGTCGACGAAATTAACACTGCTGTTTGATGTATAAACCGCACAGACTATGTGATAACAGGTGTATAAAATTATACCCACTTATTTTGATGGATTCATTTAAGAAGAAACCCCAACTATTACTTTGCAACTAAATAGTTTAAAAAGTCAAATTTCATTGACCATGGTTCATAATGATCTTAAAATCAATGTTATGATTTTTTTATTTTTTATTTTTTTTTATGTCATTACAACCATGCCTTGCAAGTTACCAGTCAGAAATATTCTTAATATTGACGTGCTAAGGTCAGGCAATTTTTTCTAAATTGAGAAAAAGGAATGCTTACGTACTGGAAAATGATTAACATTCTGGCTGAGCCCTGGATGACCTTCCGTAAAGTAAAATAACTCCACTTACCAGGACAATAAAATAAAAAAAAAGGAATGTATTTTGGATAAACCAAAATATGTTTTTATAGCCATTTTCTTGGTAAATAGAATAATATAATTTTTTCAAAACCGATTTGGATTCCATTCAAGGCAAAAATATAAAATGGCACACAGCTTAAAATCTGTATGTAAAAGTTATGGGAGTTGGTAATGTCGAGATGATATGATCTGCAGTTTCTTACGTTTGAAATTTAGAGAATAAAACAAATTTTTCAATAGTTCTACTATAACAAGCTCTGTGTAATAGATTAAGCAGGTCATATGAACGGAGACCGGAAAAGAAACATAAGTTAAATGAAAGATCAGACTTTTGTATGCTATAAAATGCTTGAAGAAGTTAAAATGAAAGTAGACATATTGCATAATCTGTACATATATAATTGGATAAACAAGTAAGTACACTTGTTAAATTCTACCTGAACTTAATTCAAACTATGACAGTTGCATTAGTGATTCTGTACTAAATAACAGTGTAGCAGTTACTGTACATTTAAAGATATCACACATGCCAAAAAATGGTAACTGTCAGGTAGCAAACTAAACTTTACTCAGTCAGATTGCATATCAAGGACCAAGCACCCAGTTTACATCAAAGGTAGTTTGTTGCACATTCGCAATTGTTTAGCTAAAAAAAAAAAGGCTGAATCTGCAATATCACCATAGTGTTGATGTAAGCTAGGTTCCTGGTCCATTATATTGGCTGTGCAGAAGTTAGTCATTGTTACACTATGCAATGCCAAAATGTCAGAAAACGTACTAAGCTTTGGTAGGGGGGAGTGAAATTCTCTGGAGTCTTATTTTCACATTGATGAATACTTTCAACAAAACTGATATTATTGAAGTATAAGAAAAAGATTGCATCCTTTTATTTGTTCTTTTGCAAACCCAGACACAAAACAGTGAAGCGACCAGATAAAAATATGGCAGGGAAAGCGAGCGTAGAAAAAAGGACAGATTGTGGAGGGAAATGGAGGCCTGTGACCAACAACGAGAGTGAAGGGAGATCTAGAATAGTGGTTGCTGCTTACAGCAGGTAGTGTGTACTCTGTATGAGCTCTATAAATAACCATCTTTTCATGCAACTTGGCTCAGGCAAGTATTTTATTAATAAACCCTTCTTCTAGTTTCTTCAAAATGGATGGCTGCCAGTCCTTGTGAGTACGATTGTAGAATTAGAGGTGTAGCGGAGTGGAGCATTAATGCCTGATACAATGGAGTGAGGGAAAAAATTTAGTTTCAGAATAAACAATAAAACTTTACAAATAGCTAGTAGGTCTAAAATGACTGTAATCATTTTGGAGAGGTTTGTGTCTTCACATATAAGATTTACAGTGACAGAGTATTATCAGCATTAGATTATTTATAAAGGCCCAACACATACACTGCTTTCTACACTTACATCGTGACCACATTACCATCTGGTTGCAGGGCACCTAAAAGCCTTAATACATAAAATAATCCACAAATTAAACATAATATCTTAAAGGTGAGTTCAGGGCATTGTATTCTTTATGCTAAATTATTCCATACCATGAATTGTTTCATGGAGAATTACCTTTAGCCCAAAATTACTGTTTAAGGCTTAAGATGATTTTCAACATGCTTGCAAATGAATTGAGGATAGCACTTCAACCTAGATAAATCGGTACAATAAGTCTTTCTGGATTTGTCATGGTGACATTTGCCCCATCTTGAGTAACTCATACATGTGACCGTATTGCCGGTCCAGGTGAGGTTGAAATAGCAGAAGGAATCTTTAGATTACTGAGATTAGCACTAAGTAATCTAGCTATCCACAAACTGGAGATAAGGGTGAGATTGCTCACATGAAGGAATTCTAACGTGACCTTTAGTTAGAGTTAGAGTAAGGAACACTTTGAATATTGCAAGTTGGGGCATAACTGCTCCACCATTCTCAATATACGTTGCATTGTTATTTTTATTTTTTTAAGCTCTTCGTAATTTAATTATGTTCTTCCCCAACAACAAAATAAAATGACTCCATTTTTGCTTTTCATTCTTTGTTCTTGCTTTAGACAGGCTGGGACACATCAGAGAGTGAACTCAGCGAAGGGGAGCTGGAGAAGAGAAGAAGAACATTACTCCAGCAGTTGGATGATGACCAGTAGATAGGTGTTTCTTTTAGACAGATGAGTGATGTGTGGTGTGAAGATCTTTCTTTTATACGATGTAAGAGGACACAATTTCAGTGAGCAGGCTTTGCTATAAAGGTGCACATATTGATTGTTTCCAAAAACTGGACAATCATATACGCGGTTTATGTAAATCTGCAAAATTGTTCCTTTCTGTGGGGATTCTGCTAAGTAGATTTCCAGCTTCTGAGCAGTGAAACACATTGTAAAGTGAAAGCTATTTATTAAAAAAAATAATAATAATAAAATAAACTCTCTCTCATTACTGGTCTCTGAACTGGGATACTGCTTACTGTACATTAGAACATAATATCCCTGCTTCTTAAGTCACCCTTCATTTATGATTGGTTTTAAGCTCTGTTCATGTTAATTAATTGTCCAAGTTGGGTACTCCCTCTCCTCAATTTCTGAATATGCCAGATAAAGAGAGAGGATCTGTGTTCTCAAACTGAAGCTCTTGAATGAACAAATACTCAAAAAAGGCACTCCCAATATCGGGGCTCTGTCCCGCTATAGTTCCATAGTGTCCACCAAATGGATATCTCCTAATGTTGGGAGGTATGCAAAGGCCACAGGGAAAAATTAAAAGCACAAGCAACTCTGTAAGAAATGTACCGTATTTTTCGCTCCATAAGACGCACCTCACCATAAGACGCACCTAGTTTTTAGAGGAGGAAACCCAGAAAAAAAAATATTCTGAACAAACTGTTCCATAGTGTTTCTTACCATGGGACAGTTTGTTCAAAATATTTTTTTTTCTCCCCTGTCCCATAATGATCTTTAACCCCCCTTTCCTCTGTCCCATAGTGATTGTTAACCCCTCCTACCCTGTCCCATAGTGATTGTTAACCCCTCCTACCCTGTCCCATAGTGTTCTTTAACCTCTCCTCCCCTTGTCCATTAGTGTTCTGATCCCATAGTGTCCCCCCCTCCCATTGTCCCATAGTGCACTTTCCCTCCCATAGTGTCCCCCCCTGCCCTTGTCCCATAGTGTCTCCCCCTCCCCTTGTCCCATAGTGTCCCCCCTCCCCTTGTCCCATAGTGTCTCCCCTCCCTTGTCCCATAGTGTCTCCCCTCCCTTGTCCCATAGTGTCTCCCCTCCCTTTCTCCCATAGTGTCCCCCTCCCCTTGTCCCATAGTGTCTCCTCCCCTCCCCTTGTCCCATAGTGTCTCCCCCTCCCCTTGTCCCATAATTACTTACCTGTCTTGGAGCGTGGGCCGGCTTCACAGCGCGCTCCGCGGTCCAGGAACTAATATTTCAGGTTCCGGTTTCCGGCGGGACTGAAAGGAGGTGTGCACACTCAGTGTGCACACTTCCTTTCAGTCCCGCCGGAAACCGGAACCTGAAATAGAAGTTCCTGGACCGCGGAGCGCGCTGTGAAGCCGGCCCACGCTCCAAGACAGGTAAGTAATTCTTCACATTCGCTCCATAAGACGCACAGACATTTCCCCTCACTTTTGAGGGGAAAAAAAGTGCGTCTTATGGAGCGAAAAATACGGTATGTTCCATCAAATGATGCATATACTAGCCTGCTCCTGTCGAACTACAGATCCTATTGTGCTCAGTGAAATCCTGGCTGAGGCTGGTGGAAGTTAAAATATATATCTGATCTAATGGGATTTAGAGGCAACTACTTGCTGAACAGATTATATGGAATGTACCTCCAATCAACTTCATTCAGTGATTGATTGAAACTGATGAAATATGTAGTCTACAACATCATATGGTAGGTCACCATTTTAATGCACACACAAAAATGAATACTTAAAATTGGTACTTGAACTAATAAAGCCCTAAAATGTAGGATTTATGTTATAAGAATCTCTAAATATCAATGAAATCACCTTATGAGATAGATTTGTACTTAAAGGGACACTATCGTCACCAAAACAACTTTAGCTTAATAAAGCAGTTTGGGTGTATAGATCATGCCTCTGTAGTTTTACTGCTAAATTCACTGTAATTTAGAAGTTAAATAACTTTTGTTTCTGTTTATGCAGCTCTAGCCACACCTCCCCTGGCTGTGATTGACACAACCTGAATGAAAACAAAATAGTTTCATTTTCAATCCGATGTAACTAACTTTTAACGTTTTTATCTCCTGATTTGCAAATTGAACTTTATTTACATACAAGAGGCTCCTGCTGGGTCTAGCAAGCTATCAACAGAGCAGGAGATGAGAAATTCTAAGTTAAACAGAATTTAAAATAAAGGAAGTGTAAACATTAGCTGACTCTTTGCAGGAAGTGTTTAGGAGGGCTGTGTACGAAGGGGTGTCTAGGGTTGTATAAACAAAGTGATTTAACTCATAAATGGCCAAGAATTGAGGAGTGAGACTGCAGGGGAATGATCTATACAGCAAAACGGCATCATTAAGCTAAAGTTGTTCTGGTGACTATAGAATAAGTTTGGCCAACAACAAGCACCAACAAAGTATGTGCTGGGTTAAAGGGAGTGGATTTACATTAGCTGCAAGTTGATGCTCTACATTACGCAAAACAAACAAAAAAAAAATTACTAAAATTTGCCCTTAAAATGTAGTTCATTAAGATTTCAGTATAGCTCTACTGTACCAAATGATAAACTGCACAACTGGGATTACAGCATTAAGATTGTACAATGCATAAATAATTGGCTAGAAGACAGTGTTACAGTGAATAGCAGAATGTAAGGAAAGATTGAAATTCTATTAACAAGGAACACCAATAGTATCAGGTACAAAATTAAAATATGCATGTTTCCTTTCAAATATTTGCAGATAACAAGCTCCTCATGGTATTTTCCATTCCTCTAGTATTCTTAAAGGGTTACTCCAACCACTAAGACCACTTCTGATTTTTGAAGTGAGAAGCATTTGACTGGACCATAGAGAGGAAGTGAGTGACACAGCCAGGTGTCTGATATGGAAGACCTTCACCCAGCACTGCATGTTATCATGGATTGCAGCTTATTATGCAATGCTAATTTTATATTTACAATAAAGTTTTAGACAGTAATAAGGGGGCTATTAACCAGTGCTCAAAAGGACACTATAAATAAAGAAACGGGAACGATAAAGAGTTGACGAAACCCTTTAAAACATTACTTCTGTGGTTCAGTATGTGGGATCTTATATATGTTACATCTTACGATATTGCTTGAAAACTCATGTAAAACATAAGGATGGTGGTTTACGGTGAATAATGATCTTTGACACGTAGGATATACGAGTGTGCAATCATAAGCTTGCTGTGTGTGCTTTCTACGTCTCTTGACTCTTAGGTCATTATCCTAATTGAATACATTATATCTGAGGATTATTATATATTAAGTTTTCTCCTTTTTTTCCATCAGTTTTATTATTTGTTTTGTGTAAGTGATCAGTATTTACTTTTTTATACTGGGACTTTCGGTTTAGGCGCCACTCTAAGTGTGGTCCTTTCTTTCTTTGTGCTAATTTAGTAAGGAGTTTGAATAGTTGGATAAATGTTATTTTAATCAGTCAGGGTCTTGCAAATGTCCTTCAAATCTCCACCTATATCATGCTGTGAGCACAATTTTATATACACACACCTGTGATATGACAGTATTTTACCTTCTACTCTTCCCATGGTTCCCCGGACTCCTAGCTACACAGACCTCCCTTATCACCCAAAAAGTTTATAAACAACTCTCTTCCCTCCCCCTCTATTTATTCTAACAGCTGAGTTGGAAAGATTTGTGACAAAACCTGCTAAAAATCATCATTACCAGGAGTATGTATATGTACATAAAGATTCCATTCATACTTCATGAGGTATTTCCTCTTCATCCCATAACAAAAAAATCCCACTTCCGCAAGCCATCCCGGAAAAGAGACAAAAGGACACTCGGACAGCACCATAAGCTCCTTCCAAGTTTATTGTTACAAAAACATGAAAAGTTTCAGAGCCGAAAGCTTTTTTTTCTTTCCTGAAATCTGACAATCTGAAAGCATGCCTGTAGCAAACAAGTACTGGCTTCTTTCGATTAAAAAATAATATACTGTACAAGATTAATACACTGAGAAAAGGCACGTTACCGCCTTCAATGCCAGCGATAATACAAGTCACCGCGGTGCAAATAGGATGTGCAGTGAGTTTACCGTGGCATTGCTGGAGGGTAGGAATGTGTTTTACATGCACAAGTTATTGTTTCATACATGAATGATACAATGGAATAATTACACGTTAAACTGGCTGATAAAATGGAATAGATAAATTCAAAAAAGTTAAAAAAATGAAGCATTCCCAAGAGACAGACATCTGATTCTGTGTCAAACAATAAAGCCATTAATACTGTGTCCACAATATGTGGCATCTTGTGCCAGCCTGACATGTTGCTTAACCATAATAAGTAACAATGTCAGGGTTTGCAGCAGTTTGGCCAGATGAATGTCTGTTAAATACAAGCGATTAAAAAAAAATACAGAGACATAAAATTATTACAAATAAAAACAAAGTTGACTTTTAAAAATCCAAAAGGCCAGTATAGGGGAACTGCTGCTGGAATCAAAGATTTTACCCAACTAAATGGATGATATTGTAGTGTATTTTTTAAACGAATAGTGAATAAGGTGCATGGATGCACATGATAGATGGACTGGTTTAGGGGAAAGTAAATAAATGAAAGCACAGGTAATTATTTGCATTGCATACAAGAATACAAATGGTAATCCGTAGTTGCATTGTGTTTTGGTCTCATTTTAAAGTAAGAACAAGGAGTGAGGTCATATTCACAAGTAGTAAAGGCACTGGGGTGAAAATTACAAGCTGAGAAGGCTTGCAACTTATACTCATAAATAAGGTCACCTGGCTGGTAACAGGGGTGCTCACCCTTTGTCTCCATATTTGTTTAAAAAAATAAAAAAGCATAAAAAACTGTATGAACAGCACACCTAATTACTGCCAGTCCTAAGCTGGTTTCCTGTAGTGAGGAGTAAATCTGTCCACGTCTTAAGTTAAATATTACAACTCATTTAACAAGAAGAAAAAACAAAGGTGCAGGTCAATTTGACATACACAGTCTTACAAATCACACCACAGATCTGGGGTTTCTGGTAACATTTGCTAGTTATTACCAATATGGATTGGTAAGGGAAGGTACTGCAGAATTTGGTCTTATTTGGCACTTTATTAGTCAACAGAGATCTGAAATGAGTAGTAATATAGACTTCTGGTGAAAGAGTAAAATATGAGATCCTGTTTTCACTGGAAGCATGTGCACAGATTGCATGGGTCATACTAACTGGGAGTGGGTAAGTTGTGTGTCTAACTGGAATGTCTGCTCAAGGAGCAATAACTCTAAAAACACTGAAGCTTTTTGTAATTGCTGCTTCAGATGGAACTGGTCATTAATTAGCCATCCTTGATATATATATATATATATACACACACTTGTTTTGAAATAAATAAATTACCAACATGAAAACGTTTTAAAGGAGTGTAAAAGTGGCAGCATTCTTGACAAGCGTTGGCTCAATATACTAAGTGATATTGCACATTAGGTCAAACTATTCTACTAAACTCCGGGCTGCTATACCGAGACCAACTCTGCATATAACAATGACTGTACTGATAGACAGGATAAAAGGTTAAGACAAAAGGTTTAAACCTTTCACTGCAGAGAAATGTAGATCTCCTTAGAGTTCAAACTGCCAGCCAGTCAAAAATAGACTTCTTAAATGCACTGTGCCATACAGCCCTAGAAAACTGTACATGCAAAGCGCTCCATGTTTTACATGCCCATAACTAGAATGAATATCAGTCACAGATGGCCAAAATGGGCTTGCCAGATTCATTGCAAAATACTGATATACAAAGGATGGGACATTGTGGCTATACGCTACTAAATCACAGCCTTATGTACAATGTTTCAAAGTCCTTTTAAAAAAAAAATGCACGTGAGTTTACACTTGTCACATCTGGTACAGCTAAGTACCGGCACATATCGTGCAATCACCTTACTTCCATAGTATATGGCTTAATCTCTCTGGACCCATCTCTTCCCTGTCAACACTCGACAATGTTTAATTTAAGAGATACAGAGAAACAGGTCTCACTATGTTAACTCTTTCAGTGGCAGACAGGTCTGCTGAAAAAGTTTCACTTGCATTATCAGCACTTTCCATAATGGAAAGTATTGACCTTAGACTATATTAGAGTTCTGACTATCCAACTACATAAAAAAACAACAAACTTTATAAACACTTACAAGGCACTTCCTTTTTTTTCCTCTTCAATTTTCGCAACCAACAGTACCTCCACAGAGGCCAAAAATGATTGGTCGAGAGAACATTACAAAAAATATTTACAGTAAAATGGTAAAAAAATATATAAATAATAAAAGAAATTAAAAATAGTTCTGTAATACTGTAGCTTTAAGGCACTTTTGAAGTGTCCTGGCATGTTCAATTCCCTTGAAACGTGCTGTGGAATGATGTCTGTGATGAGATCCACTCAGTCCATCCTAATGGTAACAGCCAAAATGTGGCAATGACGAAACACAGAAAAGTTCCATAGGGCGCCATGCCATGAAGGCACTAGATGCGTCGCCAGGCATTCCGGAGTACTGCATCTGCACGCCTGAAGGGCTGCTTGCGGAGGTCTGAAATAATAAATCAAAATGTTTTAGTGAAAGAAGTAGAAGCACTGGCAATGGAAAGCAATGCGACAGAAGCAGCAAGTGTATTTATGATTGGCTAGAAATCGATGTACAAATCTTACCAGGAACCTTTTACCATTGAGAGCTTGTGTGAACCAGGACACGTTCTATTAGCTTGATAAAGGCTCACACAGAGCACAAACATTGTTTTCATCCATTAAACCTGCCCTGGACTTTATGCCAGTGCCCAGTCCTTGTTGTTTGTTTTGGGTTTTTTTACATTATATTCTAGCACTGGGTGTGAAAAGACTATACAATCTCCCTCATAGGATGTAAGTGGGCAGGTGTAACTAGCCAAATCCACATGGTTTTCTTGCACATGCATCTTTATGATTACATGGGCAGTACATGGAAATTTTGCTAAGCAGTAGGTGGAATTTATGTGATTGTTCTTGATTGATTAACTAAATGCCTTTTCTCCTGCACCATTACAGGGCTGTACTTTTTATGTCCTGCTATACAGATAGAAGGGATATTAAAATTATTATTATTATTAATATTAATATTTCTGAAATGTAAAAGAACACTACAGTCAAGCTGAGCACTTTCTTACCTGAAGAGATTAAACTGGTACATTGCTTTTTTAAAGAATGGGGGAGCTACTATTCGGCTCAGAGCAAAAGCTGACTGCTCAAGCCAATCAGTGGCGACCCTGTCCAGCAGTACTCTGTGCTTCCTGAAACTCAATTTCAAAAGCGGGATGCCAGGCTGTGGGAACTGGATAACCAGTGCTGGAAGCAACGCTTGGGGTTAAACCATTCAAGAACGGCTCAATGGGTAAAATACAGGGGTAAATACAGGGTTAAGTCAGCAGCTCAGCTCACACGAATATTTAATTGGCTGAGCCGTGTACTACACTGAAGTCGAGGCTAGTCAGAAAAAGTTTTTGTAATAAGGGAAGGCTAAATGAGGGCACTGCTAAATCTTTTTTAAAAGGGACACCTTATCAAATACACTTAGGTTGTTCACTGTGTCCACACCTTGCCCTACAGCCATATAAAACCATATGTGGACTTGCCCAAGGACAGTTGGAGGGTAGAGGTTAGCCAGCCCTGGGCTAAAAACCTCAGACCTTGCTTATATTTTCCAAGTGAATCTAGAAGTTACTATTTCAAGATTTTCAAACTGTGGTACATAACCAATTATTATGCTACACAAATCATCGCAGCAAATAAGTGCAAAAGCAGTACAGGAAGACCCTTTGCTGTTGTTCCACAAGATCTGTGTATGGCCTAATCTCTGTATTTAATGATGTAAGCAGAGGCTTGTTATAAAAGAGAAAGACCTCTTTTTAAGCACAAGCAGCAAAGACTGCATTAGCCAAGCTCTGGGTGCATTTAACAGCTGTTCCTGGGCAGTGTCTTACCCTCTGCAAGGGATGGGAAACTAGAGATGACTCTTCTTGGGTGCTAATCTGAGAGATAAAATGAAAATGTACATATAACACACATAGGAACAGATTTTAAGACGACCTAGGTCCTCATTCAAAGTCTATATATGCGTGATGACAAAGCATAATCTGCATGTATCCTGTATTTGTGTCCCAGAATCCACAGAACCTATTACAATTTACTATGAAAGGAAGATTGAATATGGTCATGCTTTGCATTCCGACATGTCATGCACTCTCCAGCAGTTAACTAGTTAAATGACAGAGATGCTGGAAGATAATCCATAGAGACGCACACAATTAAACAGGTAAGATGGCTCCTGGCACCCATTTGTAGAACATGGCAGCTCAAGTTTAGACCATATTATCACCAAAGGGAAAAAAAAATTTAATAAAGAGCCTGGGCTACCAAATGGAGCAAAATTGCAATTTCGTGAAACATGTTCTCCATAAACAGTTAATACTTCTTTGCATCCCTAGGAATTATTTGGTTCTGAAATAATTTAGTTGGGTGCAAATGGGAATTTCTTATAGGCCATCTCACCTGGAGTTTATTTGTGCATGCCTCAATGAATCTAAAATCATTACATCTATATAAAACGTGTGTCATGCAGTCAGACACAGTGAAAGTATTAGTAATTACAGGGTAAATATAGGGATGAATTAAGGGGCAGACCTCTCCAATGAATAAGAGCATGCACTCTAGCGTTCTACATGAGAAACCTTGCTACAGCTGTGAGGAGAGTCAGTGCATGCATTGCAAGAATCCATGTACCTTTCCATAGTTTTAAAAGATATTGGGCTTAACAGTTTGAATCCTCAAATAGGGATGTGTCACAGAAGAAGCGAGAGCCTCGCTTGGCTGTCCTGGCTGTGAAGGGGACGCTCTTCAGGACTGCATCCATGGGGGCAGGGGGAGGAACAGAGAGAGAGAGAGAGATGTACACAGTAAGATTACGGACACTGTCACACAAATTTCTGGGGTAAGAGGCCCAGCATGGGGAAAAAAACAAAACAAAACCTTTATGCATTAAAAGGGAGGATTACAAATTAATGTATTGCTTATTATTTTAAAGCACATAAGCTCACCTGTGATTATGTCCTCAATGGCCCCATCCTTTCCTTCATACACCGGGTGGTGATCTTTCGCCTGCCGCCGGCGTAGCTCAGCAATCAAATCTTGCTGTTGTCTCTTGTTTTTCTGGATGGGAGACTTTGGGAGGGGGAGAAGAGCATGGTGTAAGGGCTAGTTACAAAACACAAAGTATGTGTTCACACCATATAAAGCTCAGAGCATGATTACTGTCCGACCAAATCCCTTTTCACTTACAGGGTTACTTATTAACGTGAGAAATCAATGAGAATTTAAAGTAAATGTCAGACTTAAGGCCAGTGTAGCTGAATTAAATCCATAGGTGATTTAGAGAATGTTTCCAGTTTGACCTTGAAGTTAACATTCACTTTGAATTCTTAATTAACTCCACAATAACCATGAAATCAAACATTTCACTTTTGAGAATAGGATTAGACCATGTTCAAAAAATAAAAATGCAATCTCCTACTGTGGTTGAAGAAAAAATAAAATAAAAAAATTAATATTCTTATATCTTATAAAAAGGACGGGGGATTTTCTGTCACAGTTAAGAAAACAAAAATATCTGTGGCAAGGAGACACAAAGATGCTGGTGGGATCTAGGTTGGAAATAATAAAATGTTAATAAAATGAGAAAAAGGAAGAAAAGAAATAGGCAGACTTCATGGACCAATTGCTTTTTTCAGGAATGTTTCTGTGTTTGAATGAGTTAGCAGTATATGGGAACCGCAAATCTCGCCTTTAATCAAGAACATTTTCTAGATGTTTTTAGATGGAAATCATACTAACAGTGTCTGAAATCATTAGCTTATATAAAGTAAGCAAAGGGAGGACAACTGTTCAAGGTGCAATCTCTTTGTGCTCTGTAAATCCTTTTACAAAACAAGAACTTGACTGACATCTAGACAGACCAGCCCCAATGCATTAGGCAATGTTTGCTACGAACCATACACCTGGAGTTTGCTCAGTACTCTGTATTGGGGACAATGATCCATACCACAGAGTCAAACAGATACATTTTTGCTTTAACCGAAGGCTTCAGAATAAGCAGCAATGAATTGAACACTGAGAAGTGTTCTCTCTTTTTCCAAATGATGCTTATCTGGTGTTCTATAAAACAGTATTTCCTCTCACCATTCAGATAAATGTCAATAAAGTAAAGAACAAGCACAATAAAACGCCAATCGGTGTAAGAAAAGCATCTTCCTTTATGGCAGAAAAGCCAAAAGTAGGTCATGTCCTGGCACAAAGTACACCTCAAAATACCAGTCTCCATCAAGTGGAACGTGCATAATACAGCAAGTTTCAATGGCCTGACAGTAGCATTAAAGAGACAATATAGGCACATATATTCAGCTCGTTGAAGTGGTCTGGGTGCACTTCCCCAGGCCCCTTAATCCTGCATTGTAATTATAAACTGAAATAATTACAATGCAAGATTAACTCCACCTCTAGACAGCCACTAGAGGGACTTACTG